TCTCTCTCTCTCTCTCTCTCCTCCTCCTCTCTCTCTCTCTCTCTCTCCTCCTCTCTCTCTCTCTCTCTCTTTTCTCTCTCTCTATTTCGAGAGGTACCGCGTAACTCAAGTCGCATGTGTTCCTCGTATGTTCAGACGCGATGGACGATTTCGCTTGACTAATCGCCGTCTTTTTAACCCCCTCTACGACGTGAGGGAGAAAAGGGAAGACGTCGTGTAAAATGTTCTCGTGTTTATCTACGACAGGCTTGGATCAACCGTTGAGCACGACGGTGACATCAATGTTGTTTGACTCGACGCAAAGACCCACTCTAAATACTAAAAATAATGTTGCTCCGTTTAAAATGCTATCGAAAGGATGAATTTGCTTATCTAATTTCGATTTTTTAAAATTGCCCATACATTTTTCGTATGTCTCAAACCACAGGGTTTTAATAACTTAATTTTTAGAAATATATTTTATATATTTCCCTGTCTAGATAATAATTATTTTACAAGGAATATTTGTAAATAATTTTATTGGATTCACTATCTTTTTCAACCTATCGCTAATATTATTCTAAAACAAAGAAATTATTTATAAAAAGTTTAAAAATTAATAATATCTATCGAAGCAAAGAAAGTTTGGTTAATTCTAAGTGCCGTAATATGCCAAGTGCCGTGAATTTATGAGACAGACAGTGACAGAGATTTCAGATTTAATTATTCCCGAGGAAATACATACAATTCCATTTTAATATACAAATGTATTGCGGAAGACACGGTGTTCAGATGAAGACAAAAAGTCGATTTCCTGATGATGTAGACTATTAACGGGGTTAAATCGTGACCGGCTACTTTCCGGCCGCAGGAACATGTTTACATATAACACACATCTAGATATATTATTAACCGTCGCGTATTTTTTAACTCATGATGCACAGATTGATGATCTATCAGATCTTCAAGCAGGTAATTCTTAAATGACATAATGCGAAAATCTTACGAATATTAATGATGTAGTAAATAAGAAACGTTTGATCATTCTGTTCTACTGAGCCATTCCGAAATGAAATAAAGATAATTTTCACGTATTCTCACGACTCTTTATTTTTCTTTATGAATTCGTACGTGAAAGAGGAGTTGAAGAATGGTCAAACTACCATGGCCGCATTATATACAGCCGCTTCAGCAGACCGTAAAATTGGCGTGTAAAAATGTATAAATATGGTACGTCGGCCGGGGTACACAAAAGCGTGCGTATTATCGGAATTAACCTAGTGTTCGACTGAAACAGTTCTTTGCAAGCACAAAACAATGAAACCTTTTGTATCGAAAAAGGGCCTTTCGTACTAAATTACACTCGTCCAGAATTATCGTCCGAATTATACACTAAGTCATGATTCCGAGACAAGTGTTAGATAAAGTCCTAATTACGATTTTGGCCCAAATTGCTAAATAAATGGTGAAATAAAATAGTTCAAAGAATGCTCAAAGAACATGTGACTCGTGCCAGGATGTAATGCTATCGTCGTTATATTGTGAAATCTGTTGTCGTTACGACTAAGACACTAAGCTAAGACACTAGTACGTTTTTAAATTAAAATTAATTAAAAGCTGATCTGATCGATATTTTATTTTAATTTAAATAATGAAAATTAAAAATATTTGACTCGCGCAAAATTATTCGTTTCAATTTTCGTTTCGTTTACTCGAGTCAAAATTTTTATTATCAATGATATGAAAATTCTTCATAGTTCGCGATGATGGCGTGGAAGAAGAAATTTTCAGATTTTATCACGGTGTGCCGATTGATCATTATACTATTGATTTTTTTTTGGTCACGATTGATAGTTAAGAGTTTCGCAAAGTTTCTCCAATATCTTTTCGCCTGTCGCAAGTTCGTGCCGAGGGAAGCTGCAATCTCGCCAAGGCGGGCGGTTAAATCTAGGAAGGAAAGCCGCTACTATGACATCGCGATAATAGGCAGCCCGGCAGCAGGACAACAGAGCTCCGTTCTGCATTTCTGCCGGACAATTATAAATCACATCTCTCATCACCTTTCCTCGCCTCTGTTTCGCCGCGATTTTTATCGGGCCCGCAATCGCGCCGGCTCTCATCCGTAACCGCTTTAATCACATTTTAACTGTACCGAGGAGCGTTCTGTGTGATTATGCTCGAAACGCGATATGCATTCTGTGCATTTCTTGCACTCGCTGCCGAATAATGCGGCACCATCAAATGGCGGCGCGAATAACTTGCAAAATATTATCCGCTCCGCTTCATGTTCATTATTCACGCGTAACCTTTGCTATATTGTTATCTCTTACGGAATAATGCATGCGCGAATAATAATCGATTCACTTCAACTGATAGTAAAAAACAAGATGAGAACTATTAATATTTCTTCTTCTTCTTGTTCTTCTTCTTCTTCTTCTTCCTTTTTCTTACCGCTTAAAAATGCAGTTGAATGTATTTTTTTCACCGAAGTTATTAGCGCGAGTTATTTTCACGCAATTTATTTATAAATATTTATCGTACAGCTACAAGTCAAATTTATCGTAATATTAATTCCTGCACAATATCACATTGATTAAATTGAGTTGAGTCGAATTGAGTTGAGTTGAAACAATGTCGCCATCGCACGTGGAATTCGAGAACAAAAAATAAATTATATAAAACTAACAATCGATGTTTTTTTAACCTGACTTTTCTAAAATGAAAAAGTGCGTTAATGGTCTTTTATAATTGTTTGAAAAAATTTTAATACTTGTTTTATTATAATGGTATCAACATCGTTGACACTGTCGATAATATCGTGAATGTTATCCATCTTATCGTCTTAGCCCGGAATTATCCTACGAGTCAGCTCGATGGATAATAACTCGGCGAAAATGAAGATAAATGAAGCCGAAAACGAAGAAAAGAAAATCGTTTGTAATTATCTTCTGTTTTAATTGCGCGCTAGAGTAAAGTAGAACACGTGCATTCTCGCGGTAATGCAATTTGGAAGGAAGTTATGATCGCTTAGAGAGTAACGTGCCATTCGCAGAAGAGTGCACGAATGATGAAGAAAAGAAGAGAAGGGAAGAAGAATAGTTGCAATTTCAAGGAAGATTACAGGGTGACGCGTGTACTCGCGATTATTAGGGTTCCGTAATTAGAGGAAGACACGATATCTTTACATCACTATTAGTTTATTTATTTAGAATCGCATTCCAGTGACGTCACGGATCCATCCCGCGAACGCCGCTACTCTGGTGTACACTCCGGGTCTACCACTTGGACAGTTTGCGTCTCCGTAGCTTACAATACCGATTTGCAGCGGTCGATCGTCTTTCATTATAAAGAGCGGACCCCCACTGTCACCCTGACACACATATCAAAATATAATTGATAGCGTTATATGTTATTGAAAAATTACATATTGTAAAATTTGTAATATTGTAACACATTGTAAACCATTGCAAATATTATTTGAAGAATATTTGCATAATCTGCATGTATTGGATGCTTTGGATCCAGCTGCAGCTTCAAGTCTTCAAGTTTTTATCCAAAAATTAAATTTTCGAATCTCACCTGACACGCATTTTTCCCTAGTCCCGGTTTCGTGCATATATTTCTATAGTCCACCTTCCAATACATAACGCATTTGCGTTTCGAGATCAACGGCATTAGAACGTATTTGAGCCTCTTGGTACCTGTGGCACCGAAACCATCGCGACCCCACCCAACCACATAGGCCATCGTATCGGCCATGACTTTACCATCCTTTGGACTAGCCAGAGGTATCGGTTGAATTTTCTCTGAAATTCAAATTCCATCGAAATATGTAGACTTTTGTCTCTCAAATCTTCAGAGTTTCTTTTATCCTATTTGTTATTGTAGGAATTTGTAGGAGATTGTTCTCTTATTGCGAAGGCCACACACCTTCTTCATATTGATGACTGTCTTATTACCTGAAAAGGGAATATCTTCCGGCATCTGCAACAGTCCGATATCGTTTTTACTGAAGAAATAACTGGGATGTACATGAGCTCGCGTCGTCATCATCGAGACTCCGGGTCCCCTGTTCACGTTGTAGCCGATCCCGGTCTTGTCGACGATTCCAAATATCACGAAGAACCTTCGCGGATACTTCGCGATACAATGACCCGCGGTCAGCACCCATCTTTCCGAAATGATGGTACCGCCACACTGAGAAACCCTCCTACCGTCAATCAGTCGGTGGACGACGGCCATGAACGGAAATTGACCTTCGTTCGCGTAACTTCCGCCGACTATCCTCTCCATTTGTTTGGCTTTTCGACGATAAAAAGACATTCACAGAAAAGAGTGGACTCTCTCTCTTGGGAAAAGGATGTAAATAAGAATAAAAACAAAAATGCATAAGGAACTTGTAATCGCATAGTCTATGATAAAATTGATAAAAAGTGAATTATATTACAATATATTGTTCGCAAATCAGAATACTGTAATGGACAAATTCTCGAATTATTATGCTTTATTAACCAGCTATTATATTATATTTTGCTATATTAATGGAACAATAGGAAATATTATTTATTGCCGAATTTTTGGATTATCGGAGATGTGTTTGTACTCACTATACGACGGCGGATCGTTGATCGTAATGACACCATTATTGATATCGATAACGATCTTTTTGGTATTGAAATTTTGCGGTTGCGGTTGAACATTTCTACGCGATGCCGAAACAATCAGGAAAAATACGAAAGCCTTTACACTCCACGAATCCATAGCGGACTAACGAAAATTTTCACGTCCCGCTGCTATTTATGATTTAGTCAGTCAGGTATAGCATGGACCGGAGAAACTGCTTGCACAAGATGGAAGAAAAGCACCTAATTGCTGCATTACTCTTCCGTCATAAGTCATAAATTAATCGATTATTTGTACTGTTTTCATAAATATATAATGCTAATTTACAAGGTTTTTTTTTGTCGAATTTATTATTATGTATTACATGCATGTTAAATATTTTCGCTTAAATATTTTCAAATTTGATCAATGTTCCTTGTGATCCTTAGTTGCGTTCCAATGAAGATATATATTAATGATACTTGATATATTTTAAATATATCCGTTTAAAAGTTTTAAATAATATTTATACGAAATTGATTAATTTCCAATATTTTATTATTTTATCCAATAATTTATTATTTTCCAATTTATTAAGATTTATTACGAGTCTAAGCGACGATACGGCACTATTTAAATTTCTTTTTGTTGCGTCCTTTTTTAACGAATAAATTATTCATTATTGCATTAATTGTCGTTCCGGTTTTGCGAAACGCGTGGCGAAATTAACGCGTCGCTCGAAGAAAAGGCGTCGCCGTTTTTATTAATCTCAACCGTTCAACATTCGAATTGATTGGCAATCATTCTATTGCGCTCCCGACAGTTCCGCAATTTCCAGTCGAGCGGCTGTTGCACTCTGATTGAAATGTATTCAAAGCCGCGTAATAACGACTCGAGAGTATTTTTCCACGCATGGACAGGCCCCGCGCGACGTAATAATGTGTATGCATAATGCGTAATGTTATGATTCGTCATTTATCATCTCAACGAGAGATCACCACGCTATACCCGAAACCGAATGAATTTTTTTTCTCGCTAACTGACTTCGTATAAATCGCACGACCGATCGATCGATCCTTCTTTTCTCTTGAATTGCCGACTGCTGGTCGTTACATAACGCAGCCAGCAGTTTTCGCTTTCTTCACGGAGTCCAACATTGATCTGAAAACGTAAAATATAAATGAACCTTCCCGCAGATTATTCTTCCAGTCTAATACATGTAGCATAATAATTCTGTATATTTGTAAACTAAAGCGGAAAGTGATTTGTTCCCAAGTAAAAGTTCCGGAACTTGCGCAATTTAATGTTATGTAAAATAATATCAATTATAATACGATAATACAATTTGTATTGTCCGGTAACAAAAATTGTTATTGTCCGGTCGGAATATTTATCGAATAAAATCTGAATTTGTGAAAGGCCCTCCACCACCCCTACCAATTTTGATTGGTAGTCCTCTTTTTTTGCACACATGTTTTAATTTATTTTAATATTTATTAATTATATATACAATTAACTATTTTGATACCAAACAATACAATACAAAGTTAGCCATGAGTACATAATCATATAAAATATAATAATAAGATAAAAATACAAATACTTTTCGCAAGATGCAAATAGGATAGAATACAAAATTCGGTATCAATAATATAATAATTATATATTTTTATTTTTATTTATGTATTATCTATGTATTTATCTATGTATTATATGATATTTTATATATATATATATTTATATTTTATATTTTATTTATTATATGATATTTTATATTTTATTTATTATATGATATTTATATAATATCATATATTATATTGAAAATCATTTTATGTAATAATAAAATATAAGAAAAATAAAAAATATATAATTATGTACAAAATAAGTACAGCGCTTTTATATTTTTAAATCAAGAATATATTTAAAGAACAGAATATAATAAATAAATTTGTGTGTGTGTGTGTGTGTGTGTGTGTGTGTGTGTGTGTGTGTGTGTGTGTGTGTGATGAATAGTTAAAAATTAAAAAAAGAAAGATATTAGGCATTTAAAATACCAATCAAATGTTATTTATTATATTTTTGTTCTTTTTACAATTAATCTTTTGAACAAATTTTACTAGTTTTTAAATTATTAAACAAATTCTTAAACTGTCCTACCTATCCAAATTTTTTAGTCCCTACCTACTCGATTAAAGATTTTATATAGATTCATATCCCTATCTACCCGTATTCCGTTTTTAATTAAAATTTAATAATTAACATTTTAAATGTAGATTTATCAATCTTTAATTCCTAATTTAACATTTTTTTATCAATCGGAATTTTTTAGTATTCCTACCTACCTGTATCATTTTTAATTAACGTTTATTAATTTTTTATAATTACATTTAAATGTAACTATATGATACAATTATATACAAAAATGTAATTGTAAATATAATTTTATGATGAATTTATTTAAATAAAATTAAATAAATTCATCGTAGAATTATTAATTTTTAAATTATACATATTAACATTTCCTTATTGTTTTAATTCTTTCCCACCCGAACTCTTACCCACCCGAATTTTCATAGTGCTATAGATAATACTGTAGTACTATCTATAGATAGTACAGTAATACTATTTATAGATAGTACAGTATTATCTATAGTTCAGACATAGAGAGCACTTTATCATTCCCCCCCAATTGCGTGTAATTTGGAAAATCACACGTATACAAATCTTATAATTACTTACTTATTTTTGGTTAGTCAATTATATATATATATATATATATATA